ACAGCGGCGGCCTTATCCATTGCGAGGCTCTGGGCGGCAGATCTTTGCGAGGCCCTTGTCCTTTGTGCAAAGTATGTGAATTGAAATAGTAGGCACTTATTAATATTAATATATACTGTACTATAAATTAAATTTATTTTATTGTTATAACTAATAGCCAAGGATGAAATAAAAAGTTTTAAATATCAACTTTTCTCAACTAGGTTGTTGCGCGAGGCCCCTCCAAGAGCGAGGTTCAGGGCGATTGCCCTGCTCGCCACCCCCTAAGGCCGCCACTGATTCCTAGAATTCGCTGAAGATCTATTTTAAAAAATTAGTTCCTACAACCTTATTTTCTGTCTGTTCGTTGATTATTTAATTATTACTAATTTATAGATTAAACTGTACGAAAATTCACAGGGCATCTATATAAACATAATTCCTAATTAGATATGAAGATTATCTAGTAATAAAACAAATGGTCTTAAAAATACATTAGCAAGTAAGCATGTTTACTGTACAAAAGAATAATAAACATTAAGTTTCTGTAATAATTTAAGAAAACGATGTAATTTTTATTCTTGAAGACCCAGAAAATTAGTGCATTGCAATTTTTGGCTAAAGTTTCGAAGTAGGAAAGAGATTCAGTACTAGTTACATAAGCCTTCAATGTATTTTTGTTTTAGTAGACCTAGTATCAGCTAAGTTGCGTGACAAACTCCAGTTTTTTTTCTATTTGTTTATTCTTGCAATCCATGACTTTTAGGACATCCTTTGAGAAAAATTACATATTCCATTTGAGAAAGGGAATCGATGCTCTGGATATGGTCTACAGACACAAATCTGAATAAAAGAAAACGAAGGATTCTCGTGTTATCTCTTCACCTTTTCATACTCTTTCCAACCAATATCCCAGTCTGTAGCAACTCTTTTAATGCATTGTAATAGCATGCAAATGGGCATAACTAAGGCTTAGACATAATTATAAAGAGAACATGTTAATGCTAAAGTAAATTGCTTACAGAATCTTATGGGAGAAATCATAATTGACAAGGAAATATAACTGTTAAATTATGAGAGATTATAAGCTATAAAGAATGGTTTATGAACCCATTAGAAGACTGAACTAATTTAACACTGATACAATGTATCGCACATGTATGTCAATTGGATAAACTTTCTATTTCATCAAAAAAATCTTTTCTATTTATGAACAGAATTTAAGGATTTCAAAAAGTCCATCTAATAGAGTGATACGTTTCACCACTTTCTTTACAAATTCCGTTAGAAAGCAAAATATATTTGTGCTATTTGTAACATTAAACACAAAGATTTCAATTTATACAACCTGAAATTTCTCGAAAATAATTCTCAACTCACCTGGATCCATCAACAACAACATCTGGGTTTGTACTATTGGGTTTCCCTCATGTAATCCCATTCGATAGGCAGTGTCTTTTATATTTTGAATCATATACTTCAATTTTGAGGCGATTTCGTCATCGTAGGGCGACGATTCTGGAATATCACTCATTGCGCGAATAAACAGCATCACTTTGATTATATTGGCTTGAAACAAGCTTCCAGAATCATGCATAGTAAAGTGTTCCCAGAGGTACTTCCTTGTTTTCAACAGACATCGAGCGAAGCCTTCATTCATGAAGCGATAAGGAATACCTTCGTTTCCGAGTGGGCGCTAAAATAAGAAAACACGTGTTAAATTAGTGAAAATTTACAACAAAGACTTCATTAGACAGAATAAATTTGAAAAGTCCGAGATTACGGAAAAGTTTAAACTGTTACATCGCAATAAACTCAACTGGTAAGTTGAGTCGATTCGATATGTATATTTGATAAGCCTGAATTACGAATGATCTTGAAATTCTTGAAGAATCATCAGAAAAATTAGTTTCGGATTTGAATCCCTGGAACTATAAAAAATGTGTAGAAATGAGGGGCTCCCGTAAAAAGGGACACGTGCTCCCATTTTCGTCTCGATTGCCCTTTTCCTAATCCTAAAATAGAAAATTCGCGAAAAGAAACTAATGAACAATATTTGTCCATTGGTCCATGCAACTTCATATGTTGACCAAAACCCATTCGTTATTTTCGAGTGAAACAAGTGCCACCTTGTGAGGGCGTTGATCTGACTTTGAAGCTCTTTGCGTAACGTACATTACGATGCATCTTTAGTAGCTTGTTTCCCCTTATCATAGTCTGCAATCCAATGCTTTAAGTACAATTTTCTAATAGAATAATATACAAATCGAAAAAGTTACTTACTGGAGGTTGAAAACTGATCTTTCCTCGATTTTCCTCCACTAAAAATTAAAGTATTTCATTAGACATGAAAAAAAAAAATAGAGAAACAATTGTCATCCTACTTACATAAAGCCTCAATATGTCTTTCCACTGTTTTACTGCTTTTATTTCTGATTGTCAGTTGCTTATCAAGGGAATTTACCAAATTCAAAACGTCTACAACAATTAGCATTTGCTCTTCCTCTTCGCATATTTCCTTTAATAAGATCGAATATTCTTTAGCTAATATCGTTGCTTCTGGATGAGCGATACACGCTCCGCTTGCTGTCTCGTCTAGAGATAAAAGACAAGATTAAAATATATTTTGATCTTAGGGAGAATAATGAGGACTGAGCACTTACCTAACTTAAAGAGGCAAACCAACTTTAGGAGATACAAATGGTAAAATGTAAATTTTTAATCGAACATCTGTGTGGCTGTATTCAGGATAGTAATGAGCAAGCATCTGTGCTTGTAGGATTTTATGTCATTTGGATTAATGTATCCCCCATCCACTTCGAAGGCTGGCCCTTTGCCTACCTGATCGGCTATTGCTGTTAGATACCTTCCTTTGTTGCCATTTGCTTTTAAAAGAACGATCTGTAACGAAAACAAATCTTTGTTTAGAATCATAATGAATCTCCGGCCTAAATTACAATTGTGAAATACTACACTAAACTTGGAGCCCATTAAGTCTCGCTAAAATCAAACTTTGACTTACAGCACCAACTACAAAGTGTCTATCGTTCTTCAGAGATCTACCCAAGTGTTGCTTTCAATAATCCTTCTTCAACAGTTCAACGGGACTTTAAAATCCTTTAATTTGTAGAAAGTATTGTAAGTGTAATAAGCAGAAGGGCTTTGAAATCTTTTTTTTTCCCCTTCTGATTATCCCGGACGACCATTCATGAATATGCTCACTTAAGTGGTATGAATTCTAATCCTTTCTGCAGGATAGATCCTGAAATTTCATCCTTCGTTTCATCTTAGTGTAATTGTACTTCAATCCAACCGCCCAGAATATGTATAAACAAACAATGACTCAATCACCCAAATATACGTAAGTGGGGGAAGAATGCTAATTTTTTCAATGACGACCTCAAAAACAATTCATAATTAAATATACTATGTCACCAATGGAAGAATCATTGCATCTTCACATTCTGCTGTTGTGTTTAACAATTGGAAGAAATGCAAAAAAAATCACTCATCTTTGCATTGTTGAAATGCAAATAAATTAACTGCATGGTCAGTAAAAACGTCTATATATTCAGGAAAATTTAGTTCCATTTAAAAACTTTTTCATTTTTGCACTTCTGTTAACAATTAAGTCTTTTCTCAGGCTCATAATAGAGACATTTGCAGAACAGACCATCCATATAAAACACTTGAGAAAGTGAACCCTAAGAGACTTAATGGGCAGAGAGGATGCTAACATAACCTTAAATACGTCAGTCTTAAGAGGATGTTAAATCTGAAGGTCACTTACCACTTGGTCGACGTTCAGTTGAAAGATGTCTTTCTGCTCCCAGATCCATTGAACATATCGATCCCAACACCGATCCAAGTATTTGGCAAAGTGAGCATCGGCACCTTTTTCTTCCAAAGACTGTTTTTCATATAAAAATATTTAATTTCTTGTAAATTGAAATGTATTATCGCGTATCTTGTGGATTCCACACATCGAATGGAATATCTAATTGAATAATCCATAATATTAAATTAAAATTCCATTTTGTGACAAGAACTGTTCATGAATCTACTGTTATAAATCGATACTAATTCAAGAGAGGACATACCTCGTCTATAGATCCTCCATCCACATACTCTTTCATTAATTCCGAATTGTACTCGATTTTTTCATATGCTAGGTATGGAAGAAATAAATTTTAAAAAGAAATAAGACAATCTCAAAGTAATAAAAACACTCACTACAAATATCCTCCACGTCCAAGTATTGGAAAACAATAGAAAGAAGACAGGAAGAACAATTTTTGGGACATCCAACACGGCAGAAGACTGTTGTCCCCTTTTCAACTAATTTTTCCATTTTTGAGTAACACTTGTAACATAAGTATATGCTGCTGTATACTTCACCTATTTCTTCACAAACATAACATTTTCCGTATGTTGGTATGTAAAGTTTTGCTGCCAATTCGGTGTTCTGGTCATTCGTTTCTTTTTCACCATCTTCTTCATCCATTCCTTCTAAAATATTAAATAGATTAAAGAGCGTTTCCATTCAGATATGATCTCGTATATGCACCATACTTTGTTTGTTTCAATTAAGAATTTTTTATGCCCATTACAAAGTTAAGATTCTCTCATTATTCTAAGAATTTTAAAGATTGTCAAAATTACTTCCCTGAATTCAATGTTCCACGTAAATTTGGGAAATTCGTGTGGGTTGTCAAATCAAAAATCAAAATTTTTAAACAAATCCATATACAATCGCCACCATAGATGGTCACTACGTTACGCAGGGTCTTACTAAACACGATTCGACATGCGTAGCTTCGTATAGATGAAACAGGTGATAATTTACATATATATGTCTCTAATACCAACAGTTAGCTTCTGTGCTTATTACTGTGCTAAGCTACACACTGTGGCTACTTTCTCGTGCATCACCTTATACAATAATAATAATAATTTAAACGTAACAACTGCGTATAATTGCCTTAATTCGGGAATGCTCGATATTGAAATAATTTACCTGTATTAAGGTCTTCAAGAACTGGAAATAATGCATCTATCATCCTGGTTTCAAGAGAATTATCCTGTGCTCTCTCATAAATAGTTTCCTGTTCTTCTATTTCAATTTCTAAATTAGTATAATATGTAGTAATTAATAACACATAAAATCATAAAATTTCTATGAATAAACTTATGAATTGATTGGTTACCTTCTTCTTCTTCAGTGATAAACAATTGATCACTATCTTGATCACCTACAAAAGAAAAAAAAGCCAAAAAATTAATAGAGAGAGTGACATCAAATGGGCGTATTTTGAAAAGTTTGATCAGATTTATGGTTTTAAAATCATAACTATGTAGCGGCTTAGTGTACGAAGTACTGCAGATGTATATGGTTGCAATGCGTGGGAATGGGCAAAATATCTAAAAAAGTTTCACTATGCTGGTGGCTTAATCCTTGGGTAACAATAAAATGTTGAATAGCGAGCTCCATTTACGCACTCGACGTTATACACCTAATAAATAACAGAATGTTCTATGGCTTACGGAGTGTAATGGATGAAGAATGGCTGTTAAAAAGTGTAAAAAATAACTTTACATAGTTTATGGATGATCCCAAACATTATTACAGGTGAAAAGCTTGATTTTGTAGGATGAAAAGTGTTTTTAAAATAAGTATAAATGCAAGATATACTGCCACCTGATGAAATGTAAACGTTACCTAAGGTTTCACTTGAGCCATCATTTTCCAAATTTGACAATGGGAAGTGTTGCTTGTGCAGTGTTATAAACTTTGCCTACTTTGGTGATGTAAAGATCTGTTGCCAAGTAATTTGGAAAATTTTATATTGAAGGAAAGAGGTGTTAAAGCGAGTGCCATGCGGGGACTTTTTCCTTTTTGTACTTGCATCTAGATGTTACCCATGTGATTCAATACGTTTTGCCTTAATTAATATTAAACTATATATGAACCTNAAGGTTTCACTTGAGCCATCATTTTCCAAATTTGACAATGGGAAGTGTTGCTTGTGCAGTGTTATAAACTTTGCCTACTTTGGTGATGTAAAGATCTGTTGCCAAGTAATTTGGAAAATTTTATATTGAAGGAAAGAGGTGTTAAAGCGAGTGCCATGCGGGGACTTTTTCCTTTTTGTACTTGCATCTAGATGTTACCCATGTGATTCAATACGTTTTGCCTTAATTAATATTAAACTATATATGAACCTTTATAAGTGAAAGTTATTTTTAACCTCCAACAAGATCGGGTTTGTCCCTTCCGGGAAAAACGTCACCGGTCACTTTTACACGGTAATCGGTCTCCTCCACCCAATAGCAAACTGGAAGTGTTCGTAGCGCCCTAACCGGTAACAGGCAGAACCATTCATTTCTTTGCAGAATTCATACAGTAAGGATGATCCTTGTACGATGATATTCTTGACCTGGGGTCGGGGGTGAAAGAGAAATTTCAAAAATTAAAAAAAAAAAATACTAACAAGGCGACTGTGTTTTCTATAAACTGTGGTACCCAGCAACACGGCACCCCAACTTCTACACACTCTACAGTCTCTCAGCACATAGCGCTTGTCATCAGTNGCATTTATCAGTTAATTCTTGCCAAGCAAAGTTGATACTGCCTATGGCATCTAAGATGGTACAGTAGAGCATCGTTTATTATCTGACCTCCGATTAACTGTCACATCGGTTAACCGACTGTTCTAGTCGGCAAATTCTAAATGTCCACTAGTGATTTGGCACTACAATATTTGGCTGTCTTGGCTACTTTGATATTATTTTTGTTAAATTTTGCGTGTTTTAGCTGGCAACATTGGCTCGACCATGAAAGACCAGTATTTAAACGAGGCTTAATTTTGTAATTATGAGTGGTGATTTGTTTGAGCAATAAAACAATTTAAAAATAATTTTTAACGATACAGTAGCGATGATTATTATTTTAGAAAAAAATTTGTTAGGCTAAACATCAATGAAAATTCAACGCAAAGTTGGTTAATAGCAATATACTAATAAACTAATTACATGGGATTTACTAATATCCTAATATACTATACAGTAGACCCCCCATAACGCGAAGATACGTTCCTCGTTATACGAATTTCGCGTTGTAGGAATCCTTGGGCTGTGATTGGCTCACATATTTGACACGTGTGAAGTTTACGGACTACGGCTGTTTGAAAGGTTTTCTTCCATAAAATTAATCGATTCTAGACTAATTTGACTTAACATTTCCAAAATACGTATATTTTTTTTGGAAATAATCCGTATAAACTATGCTATAAACAAAAAATTGTAGGATTACTTACCGAGTATGCACCATTCGACATCGCCATTGCTCAAGCTTGTTTTCGTTGCGGAACAGCGCAGCATTCATTCATTCATTTATTCATTCATTTTTGTTTAAGTACTTAGTACATGTCCCGGCCCTGCTAAAGCATTACCAGGAAGTTATACATATTCTTAAATATATATAGTTACCAATATTTGTATACATATACAATAATAACAAATAGTAATAAATAGTAATAAACAATATGAGTAAATAAGTGATATTTTAAATATGCTTATGACGTATATTAGGATAAATAATATTATCAAAACGAATTATAATGTTCAGAAAAACAAAAGAAAATAAATAAATATATAAAAATAAATGCTTAGTAGTTTATATCTGTGCAGAACAGCTCTTGGAGTACATTGCAGATGTGTACTCCAAGTATGCTCGTCACGAGAGACTTCTCAAATATATAAACGTAGGTACATATTTTCTGTTAATAGGCAATAAATAAAAAATACTGTTAATTCAAAAGATATCGGGCAATTGTGCTGTTCGCGAGCGGTTTTTCCATTGTTGCTTCATATAGTCAATAATAATAATAATAATAAGTCGTTTTTGATTTAATTATTTTTCATAAAATTAGTAACAAATAACGTTACGCTAATTGCAACTGTTTGCCAATGTCAGCTTCTTGTAAATGTCTTATATAGTGTTATATGTAACACACAAAATTCATATATTACAAGAATGNAACGTTACGCTAATTGCAACTGTTTGCCAATGTCAGCTTCTTGTAAATGTCTTATATAGTGTTATATGTAACACACAAAATTCATATATTACAAGAATGCCATTATTCCTCAACAACAATCAAATGAGCAAAATGAACATGAAGTACTAAAATTTGAAATTATCACGTTGAAAAATCACTGGTAAGATCATTATCATCAGAATCTTTTTCACTAGTATATTTTTGTACGGTTGAAGCAGATGATGATTTTCAAGTTTCACATTTATCGCTGTAAGAACTCAATTTTGTAGTTTAGTTTTCATTAAATTTAATTGCAAAAAAATACGTTCAACTGCTGCATTTGAATGAGGAAGCAATAAAAACATCTATTTACTGTCAAAGTAAAGTAANGTAGTTTAGTTTTCATTAAATTTAATTGCAAAAAAATACGTTCAACTGCTGCATTTGAATGAGGAAGCAATAAAAACATCTATTTACTGTCAAAGTAAAGTAAAAAAATACAGAAATATAAAATAAAAATGAATGTTTTAAAAGGAAAGGTATTAGGATTTCATGAATGGTACTAGGAAAATGGTGTTGGGTATCTTGGTACTGGGACAAGTAAAAAGGTACTATATTAGTACAAATGCACTAGGTAGAACAACACCCGGTACAAAAGTAGCCAACTGCTCCAGCAGTTGGCTACTTTTGGGCTACTTTTAAAAATTATTTGGCTACAAGAGCAAAAAACATCTGGCAACGCTGAGCTTAAGCAGTGGTGTCTTCGAACGGGTACACTCGATAAGTATTCCGACAATTTTTTGTTCATAGTATATTTTATATCGACCATTTCCAAGAAATTATACGTGTTTTGGAAATATTCGAGTGAAATTAGTCTGGATTTGATTAATTTTATGAAAGAAAACTTCTCAAATAGTTGTACCCACTAAACAGCACAAGTGCCCGATATCGAATACAAACGTTTATAATTCACGTGGTCGTCGTCTAACACGTGTAGACTAGTGAAATCCGCCATCTTGATCTTAAAAACTTTTATTATTCATAATTAGAACATATTTAAGATTTTAATATTCGGTAAAATTATATATAACATAATTACAATTGATATTTTGTATTATTAAAGAAAATTTTGGTAAGAAATTATTCACACATTTAATGACAATAAAATCTGTTTACAAGTAAAAAAATTA